AAGTAACTGGTGTATTTTCCTTCTCAACTTGTTCATCCTTCCTTACCTCACAACAAAACTGGTTTGTGAGAAAACAGTCCTCCTCACCACTCACAAACTGCCTATCCCAAGAAGATTGGTATAAACCTTCTGATTGGCCAGACTTGCCATTCCTTTTTCCTGTTTTTCTTGGCTTACCAACTTTGATATCAAACTTTTTGGTTCTAGTTAGGACACTGAGCTATTCAAGTCTTTTATCAGCAACATCATTAAGCTCATGTTGTGAACTAAGTTGAAAAGTTCCTACAATAAAGGAGTCAAAATCAGATCCCTAATTCTTTTCTCTTCCTTTTTCAGCCAGTTGCATTGATGGTTCATTTAGAGCTATCTGAGCTTTAACCAATGCATTTTTTTCACATTTTGACTTTCCTTTCTTATCAGATTTTTCTTTACTTTGTTCTTTCCAATTGGAAGGATCTATAATAAGCTTGGGTTCATAGTAATGGTTAACTTTTGCTTTCTCTCCTAATTAAGTTATCTAAATATCATGATGACCTTGTTTTGTAGTTGTAAGTATGGCTACATTCCAGAACACAAAATTTGTTTTAGTGATGATCTGGGTACTTCCAGCAAGTACCCAGATAGAATAAATAGTATCAAAAACAGGATGCTCTAGATCACTGGTTCTCAACCTTCCTAATGCCGCAACCCTTTAAGACAGTTCCTGTGGGTCATGACCCACAGGTTGAGAACTGCTGCTCTAGATACTTTTCCTGATCTCCATCCAAATATTTTTGAGGATCAACTTATACTTCCTCTTCATCAGAGACACTGGACAGACCTCTTGGGTCAAGTTGATATTCATCAGAGTCAAAGTTGTTATGAATGGGCCTATCATTCTCTAAAATTTGAAAATCATTGTACATCTCCTGGTTGTAAATGTGACTGTGACTTTCTTCCATATGCAAAATATTAACTTCATCTTCAATATGGAAAGGATGACTTGAATTAGTTCATCCATTGGAAAAGAAAATACGCTCATGGAACCATGGAGACCGCTTCTTCTACTGTCAAGGGATCCATGGGGCTAAATGTCAAAATTGGTTCCAGGAAATCCAGTGCTTCTGCACTAATCCCCAGAAGCAGCTGAGTTAAAAGTTTGTGTGGCTCAGTCATGTCATTTATAATGTAAACTGGAATTACACTAAGAAGCTCCTCACAATCTTCCTCATGTACAACAGGTATAGATTCTAAAATCAGCGGAATCTCTTCATGTGCTCCCACAACAAGGGTTTCACAAGTCAAATTTCAGCCAAGATGCAGTCTGCAACCTACATGTCAATGGCTTTAGTATAATTATTAGGAGAAAGCAAAAGATGTGGAGATCTGTAGTATTTAGTAACCAATCCTTCAGAAAGACGACTCTTTTAGGAATAATGAGGATCTATAATCCATGCAAAACCGAGTTCACCTACCTTCAGCGTTAACGAAAAGATTAGATTAGCTGGTTTGAGATCTCTATGCAGTATGTTTGCAGTGTGATATACTCGAGCCCCTATAGCAGCTGATACATGAATAGCTTGGCATGCAGTAAAAGGCCCTGCTCCAGCACATTAACCAAGCCTGTCTCCATGTACTCCTGAACAATGTAAACACTGTTAAGTTCAGTAAGAGAGACCACATCATCTGTTAAATCTGTTAATTGGTTTCTACTGACACCAAGAAATTTCAAACATTTTCACAATATTGTCATGGTCAAGTCTTCTAATAATTTTGATTTCACGTAGAGCATCTTTGACACTCTGGAGATCAGTTAGGAAAATTATCTTGATGGCTATTCTTTTGTCACAGTCATTGTCTACGACAGAAAAAAACCAAGCCATTGCCTCCATAACCCAATCATTTTAAGTCCAGATACCTGGAGCCCAGATCAAAACCATGAATGTTCATGAGACTTTCAAATTTCTCTGTTATTTTGAAACCCTTACTATTACCTTTTCCTTTTAAATTGCTACACGTGTAAACAAGGAAGAAAACTGGCATCAAAAGAAATGATCTTTCAAAAAGGGATAAGAAAAATAATTACGCTTCCACAGCAAGATGGTTGGTTTCTTGATGTTCATTGCATAAGCCGACCAGGCCCATTGAGTTTCCCTTAATTTAAAGTTCAAAGGCTCTACTCATAATGTGAATTAAAAAGACTGCAGTATTCATGGGAAATGGGCAGAGAGACTGCAGACGTTTAAAGAAAACACTCAAGAAATCCAAATGGAATGAATGACATACTATGCACTCAGATTTACTGCACTAAATGATTTAACATTTAACAAAAATGTGAATAAATATGCACACAGCAGGCTTCTGTGAACATTCTCCTCACAGTGCAGACACATTCATTATTGGACGGTCCTGAGCAGCAGCATTCTAAGGTGCTGGGAAGCGCTATTTCCGTTTTGCTTCTCTTCTTCCTTGGTCGCTATCTATTTCAACAGGCAGCTGTTGGTTAACAGAAGATGTCTTTTGTTAGTGATCAGGTGGCTCCAGCTCACCACAATCACAGTCAATGCTACCGTCCAGCTTAATCGGCTACAATCAGACTTCAACTCATCAAGGGGGTGCAGGGGGCCCCCAGACAGCAGCCAGTGTGTGCTCAGGTCTCCAGTTGTGTCTATGAGGCTCCTTCCTGCTACTCTGTCATGTATGTAACCTCAACCCTACCCACAAGATAGGGTAAAGGACAGGGGGCCTGAACCATGTCTTTTTCTTTTCTTTCTTTCTTTTTTTTTTTTTTTGGAGATGGAGTCTCACTCTGTTGCCCTGGGGCAGAGTGCCGTGGCATCATCATAGCTCACAGCAACCTCAAACTCTTAGGCTCCACAGAGCCTCCTGCCTCAGCTTCCCAGGTAGCTGGGACTACAGGCACCCACCACAATGCCCAGCTCATTTTCCATTTTTAACACAGATGGGTCTTACTCTTGCTCAGGCTGGTCTCAAACTCCTGAGCTCAAACAATCCACCCACCTCAGCCTCCCAGAGTACTAGGATTACAGGCATAAGCCACCATGCCTGGCTCTGAACCATGTCTTTTTAATTCTGAACTTATTCTCTTTAAGCTCTTCTAGTTTTCAAGAACAGAAATCCATTCACGTTATCTCATATAATAAGTGTTTTATAGTAAGAGCAGATGTGCGTAGGAACTAATACATAGTTCACTATCCAGCCATACAAAGAGCAGACATCTAGCAGAACTGGACCTTATAGCAGAAAAACAGGAAATGAAAAGTTATTTAGAACCCAAGACAGCACTAGCTAAGGGCCACCATCTTGACACCAATATATCACTAGTATGTTTCTCCCACCTTCTTCCTGTCTGCTTGGTGCATCTTGTGTTCATCCTTACCTTTACTCTCTCTGCACATGTATACACATATATCTTTTTCTACACATAGTTTCTGCTTCTTTATTTCTACTTCCCTATACCTTCAACCCACCCACCTCTACTTTTGTGGCCCCTACATGACCCTTTTTCCTTATGGTTTGATTCTTTCATAGTCTCCCCCTTTCAGCTGCCATTCCCATTGCCTCAATCTCCTCATTTCCCAATTCAGATGCTTGGGAACAATCTGGTTATCTCAGGTTGTCGCAGTTTGGTGGGTTTTTTTTTTTTTAATTCAATTTGTTTTTGTTTTTTTGGTTTGGGAATACCAATCTACACATAGGTCACTAACTAGCCTATGAATTTTGCTTCACTGAGTCTGGTATCCTCTTTTGGTCCCAGTTAGGAGTAGAGACAAGATCATCTTATACAAAATGGGACCTCTTAGGACAGTCCCATCTTCATGAGACTGCGGTAGGGTCAGTTTCACTTAGAAGGGGATGTGAATATGACAATCCTGAAATAGACAAATCTGGTACAATCCATAACTTGCTTACTAGAACTCACACTCTTCTTTTACGCATGTCTGGGCATAGCAAAGAATGCTTTTCTTGTATGTGATCCTACATTTACCAAAGATTGTCACATTTGTCCAGCAAGGGAAGGAGGGGACGCAGCATGAATATTAAAGAGACATTGTAGATATCGGGCATTTTGATGTTCATGGACTTGTTCCGATAGCCCCATAAAATTTTACGCATGCCTGGGCATAGCAAAGAACGTTTTTCTTTGTATGGAATCTTACATTTACAAAAGCTTGTCACATTTGTCCAGCAAGGGAAGGAGGGGATGCAGCATGAATATTAAAGAGACATTGTAGATACTTTGCATTTCGATGTTCATGGACCTGGTCAGATAGCCCCATAAAATTACCATAGTGACAGTCTTTGATAATCAGCCTTAACTCTGTCCATTAATACTATTTAACTGGCACCACGATTTGCTTATGAATGTGATTAGGTTCTGCCCCTGACCTGAAGAGTTCACAAACTGTGAGCTATGGGAAGAAAGCTCTTCTCGCACCCAGGTTAAATGATAGCCTTGTCTTTCCTCTTAGACCATATGCAGGGCAATTCTGGACTGACATCTGCCCCTTCCTCAGTGTATATTCAGCCCGCTACCATGAGAAATGACCTCTGAGCTACCTTCAAAGGGCACAGACTCTGAGACAGACCCAAAAGACCACAGGCAAGTTAGTCCTTAACTCTTTTGTCTGTATACACCATTGGCTATTAGCATTTTATCTTCCACTTAAGAGAGTAATCTCTCACTTCCATCCATCTAACAACTAAGGAAACACTAATCCCAAATTCCCTACATTTTATTATAAAGGTCCCCGTCTTGGGTAAGCCCACGCACAGCATCAAATTTCTATTAGATTCTTTTGTTTGCACTTTCTTTCATCTCATTTAATTTTCTCTTGTAGGATTAGGCCCTCTCCCATGGCTGCCAAGACCTTTTTTCAGATTTTGATTCTCAAATATCTCTTAAGTCAATTTTCTTCATTTCTCTGCTAATGATTTACTTCAAGTTTTCAGTATCTCTTACCTGGACGGTTGAGGAACTGCATAACTTATCTTTCTGGATTTCGCCTATTCCACAACTAATGCCCATTTTCAACCTCCAAAATGGTCTTTCTAAAACATAAATTTGATTAGGTCCTTTTATGTTCTGCCATTTACTCTCTTTCATCTGTCTTCATGCCTTTTCACTTCGCTTTGATTGGATTATTCTCCTATTCTTTTGTCACAGGTCACTTCCCTGATCACTCCTTTTTTCCCCTGACAGAGACACTGTTCTCTATTTCATATTCCTTCTGTAGCTTATGCATTCTTCTATTCATATGTCCTACTATGTTATCTGCATAATTACTTTTATATATTTCCTTTGTTAATCTGTCTCTCCTAGTAGACTCCAGTTCCTTCAAGATAGAAACTATCCTTTATCTTACATACAGGGCATCTTTATATTCTGGTTTTTAGCTTACTGTATGTTCAGCGGTATTGAACGGAATTCGAATTTGTTTAGTCTATAACAGAGTTTCAAATGTCTGGCTACTGTGATAGCAAATTCCCTCTTCCCCTCTCCTGATACCCGAAAGCAATGTATGTAAAGCATAACCGTTTATTCATTTCCCATTTAGATATTTACTTCTGTCCCTTACTCCTCATTTCCTGATTCATCTTCTGCTACTTTCTTCTCGACTGAAAAACCAGTGGCCAGTTTGCCCTTTTGGGTGAACAGTGAAGGTCAGCAATGAACTTTCCTGACCTAAGCTTGCAGAGTTCTGATTCTGAGCGTTTCCCCAGCTATCTAGATCCTATTTTGTGTCACGAATGTCCAGGAATAAGAAGGAAGAGGTGGTTTCCCAAGTACCCTTCTCCACGTTAAGTCAGCTCCCTTCTCCGAGCTAAGTTCTAATTCTTCAGGGTCCATATTTGGGGTTCCAGGAACCTTTCTCAGGTACCATTACCTTGAGCAGTACCTCCCTGGGGAAGTATTTTGGTGAGTTGTCCTTTTCTTGCTGGTCGACTAGGCCGGGAGGGGGGTTGTTGGTCATAATCAGTAAAGTCTTATCCTGATCATACTCTGTTACTTTTAACATGAAGCTTGTGGTTTTCCTGTTTTGAGTCAGGAATTTCTGCAGTGCAGTGGACTTCAAAGGTTTATAGTACTGGGCCTGAGCAGACAGAAAGGTTTCCAGAGAGACAGAGAGATTAGGTCAGGAGAAGATTAGCAAATCAATTGGCTGATCTTTTGCCTCTGTGGTGAGGACAGAGGCTGCACAGGGGCTGGACAAACCCACTCCAAAATTCTTTCATCAGAAACTGGCTGAAGCTCTCGGTCCTTTTCTCTCCTCAGAGCATTCCCCTGAAAATAGATCAAGGGGCTGGAGAAATGCAATGGCAAGTTTTCCACAATAAAAGGAGCATGAAGACTTAAAAAAGGTAACACAGGGCACAATGTGGTGGGGCAAACCGAGAGGTGTCCATGTGGCTCATCCTAAGTGGCCTTCTCTCTGCCTCTCTCTGAGGCAGAGGGAAGACAGCCTGGACCAAATCTCCTTGCTCTGGGACTTCCTGCCCATCTTCCCTGTGGTCGTTTCCCCACACGTTTCTCCACGCAGGTATAACCACATCAACACATTCATAAGCACATCCTTAAAAATGGAAAGCAGTCACGAAAGCCAGCATATCAGGCACAGTGTGGGCAAGGAAGGGGCTGTCCCGCTAAAGTTGCTTTTTTCCCAACGGGAGGAAGGCAGAGGGTCAGAAAAGGAGAAGAGAGAAAATGGATTATATGGGGTTTCTTTTCTTTTCTTTACTTTTTGTGATCATAAGTATGTTTTCTCAACTTAGAGAAAAATATCAGCTACGGGGACGGGGACCACTTTATTCCCCGTTCCGCTTCCCACCTCACCATCCCCGGCTCCCAGCACTGCCCCCAGTGAGGTGTCCAGGAAGCAGCTCTGCCTGGGTGTCCCACAAGTCTGCACATTCCCAGGAGCTGGGGGCACCTGGAGGCATTCAGGATGCTCTGTGGGGGGGCCTCTGCTGAAACCTGCCCTTAGAGATCTTGGGGAAATGCTTTTTTCACCTACCAAATTTGGGTGGACTGTGTAATACTGAAGGTTCTCCAGAACAAATTTTGATTGCCCGACTGGATATACAATCTAAAGACAATAAGCACAATTAGTGTTTTCAGGTTGCAGCTGTCCTCAGCAGTATTCCATGCCTTACCTCTGCTTAATCTCACTAAAATCTGGTCTCTTTTTTTTCAGTGAGGGGTACAGTGTGCTTCATGTTTTGCACTCTGGGTTTCTGGAACAAGGGCCACAGCAAGGAGAGCTGGGTTCTAAGACATCCTCACAGGGAAGCTTGTAAAACTGATAGAAATGATGAGGACCAGCCTTATGGAATTGCCGGGAAAGCCACTGAGGGGGCAAAGTAGAGAAGTCAGCATCAAAGTTCAGAGTGGGACAAAGCCCTCAAAGCCTTTTCCGCACCTGTAGGAGTGACACTGGTGAAAATCAACATGGAGGGCAATCTTTAAGGAAAAGAGCAAGTTGCAAAAGGGCAATAGCCTGAGGGCTGTGGCTGTGAGGGGGCCCTATGAACAACTCTGCCAGCTGCGCCGGGAACAGACACACTCCCAGAGGAGGAAAGCAGTGGCAGTGCAGTTTGCATTTTTGAACGTCTCTGCAGTTCTTCCAGAAATGTTCCCAAGAAATTGTTTTGAATTTTGTAAGACTTCTGTCTACCACTTTGCATTCTTCTGCTGGTGGTAGCCCTGGATACCAATGGATCGTTTTGAGTGTCGTGTCTGTGGTAGAGGAGCTGAGCCTCTTTGATTCCTCTCCTGCTTGCGGCAGGATTCTTGTCCCCCTTTTGTCATAGCCTTATCTAAGGATGAATCAAAGGGACAAGAACAGGAGGAGACAAAACTCTGAATTACCTTCTTTTGGCTTGGCATAATCAGAAATCAGAGTGTATAATCCCGTGTTTAGATCTGCATTTCTAAAGATAGCGTACCCCACAAGGAGGTGGTCTGGGAAGATAGGGTACAGAGAAAAGGCAAGATGCACTGAAAGGTGAATAAAGTGAGAAAGCAAATGAAAAAAGAGAGAAATAGCAAGAATGGGACAGAACTGTAGGATGAGCAGAGTCATTGCTATGCTCCAGGAGGAAAATGCCAGAAGTTGGGAATTCTTAGGGGTTGGAGAAGAAGAAGGAAGAATAGCAGAGAACTCTTAACATTCCTTAAGGGAGGGTAGAATGAAATATGGCATGAATCCCACAATGTAATCATTTAATTTTTATTAGTTTTAGAAAACTGAAGTCCATTCATTCAAAACAAATTTATGAAAAAACCCTGCTTCACAAATATGAAATGTATATATATGACATATTTAGAAGTATAGAAGTGTCAGAAAAATTTATTTGGGGGAAAGGTACGCAGATTTTTTAAAATATAGGGTTTTTAAAAAAAATATTAGTATTAAAAGAAAGTCCCTGGGTAAAATGGTTTTACTTCTAAATTTTTTTGAGGTATTACACCTCTCTTCCAAATTAGTCTCCAGCAGTTAACTAAACCCACAAGATTGTCCAAATGGTAATATGTTTTTAGTTTTGTCATGTTGAGTTATACTATCTCCGGCTGATTAAAGTTGGCCTGGAAAATTCACTTGAATGTAATAAACACATTAAAGCAACCAGGATGCCCAGTGAGGGGAGTTTTACTATTTTACAAGCGATAGTTGTGAATTGTAGGTAAATTAGAGTTTAACACTCTGATAGGTTTCTGGTTCCTGCATTTTATCCTAATGTGTCCTTGTCTCTTCTTTTTTCTATGCTTCTATTTTTCTTTCATAAAATAACAAAAATTAACCTTATTCTCTCTATAAATCTGTGCCCTTCTTTGCTTTCAAGAGGAAGTTTCTGAAACCCATTTTATAAAGTACCCTAAGCAACTCCAAAGAAAGACTCCAAATGAACATTTGCTGATGCTCTTTCTTACCTCCTCATTATCAGCAAGTATTTCTTTCTCAAGTTTAACTGAGTTATTTTCTAAAATCTTTGACTCCTCCTCTTGAAACCTGGAAAAGGCAGAACATCCAATTGCATTTTTGACTCAGAAGCTAGGCCTTCTGCATCTTCTCAATCTCCCCCAACAAAGTTTGGGAGCCTAACCCAGAAGAGCCCAATTTAGGTGATTGTGCCAGTGTGTCACTAGCCAGCCTGCATCCTGGGGAAAACCAAAATTTCCATTTGAAGAGTTAAACAAGTAGGACCTCTTGGAGATATAATGACATCTGATGAATTTATTTCTTCTAAAATAGGGATTTTATGTGGCGGGTGCCTAAAGTCCCAGCTATTTGGGAGGCTGAGGTGAGAGAATCACTTAAGCCCAAGGGTTTGAGGTTGCCATGAGCTATGAAGCCATGGTACTCTACTGAGGGCAACATAGTGAGAATCTATCTCAAAAAAATAAAATAAAATAAAGTAGGGATTTTAGGCCACTCAAGGAAGTGCACCAATAGACTGCTTAAGCTAAACTCTTGTTGCCCTTAAGGACGTCCACCTACTTTGATGCTTACTTGCCCCACTTTTCCTCCACTTAGAAATGGCCCTGCTTTTACCAATGATTGGCCAATGATTAGCCAAGGAATCTATGAGAAAAAATAAAGTTAATGGAACTTCACAACTAAGTTTTCAATTCTTATTGACCTTGCTTGGGTTATTCACTTTCTCATCTCCCTAACCACATCTAAAAGTTTTTCTTCCTAAAACTAGGGTAGTAAAAATGATAATCAATGACAAATATTTTTTGTACTCTGCTCTTTCACTGGCTTTTCTACCCCTTACTCTGATACCAGTTCCCTTTGGAAAAGAAGAGAAGAGACAGAAGAGACAAAATTTAATAATAAAGTATTTTTGATTCCCTGACTGAGTCTTTTAAAATCTATTTACTGCCTAAATATATTATACTATCATATAGTACATATACATCATATTATCATCAGTATAATTGGGTTAATGATTAAAATAAATAGCCTGCTTCCTCTTTGGAGACAGTTGATTTGGGGGTTAAATTTGCTCAAATTAAGAAGAATTATGCAACTACTTTAACTAGACATTTCTCCTTTAAAAATGAGGATAGAAAGCTTGGCACCTGTGGCTCAAATGGCTAAGGCACCAGCCACGTACACCTAAGGTGGCGGGTTCAAATCCAGCCTG